ATTTGAGGCAGCAAAGTAAACTGAATAACTCACTTGCTAAGCAACAAATTCTCTTTTCTTCTTCCTAATGGCTGCTCAATAGAACCTCTCACCCTGACCACATTTTCCTTAATGATCCCTTTTATCACTTTAATTAGTAGTGAGAAGAATGTACGTAGTTTTTTCTCTATATAAAAAGGGAGCCCATGCTCACTCCTATTAAAAAAAAAAAGATCTATAAGTATTAATATCTATAGATATTTTTTAGAAAAAAATGTGAGATACTTATATATATTCCCTTCAATAAAATTACACGTCAAAAGAGGCGTACGTACTCACTCCTATACAAAAATATGATCTATAGGATATAACAGATCAGCGTAGAAGATGCTAAATCTTTTGTATCGTATACATATTAACAAGTGTTCTCATTTAATAATGTTATTATACTACTTCCGGTCCTGATTATAAGAGCTAGTTGACTATTTTGAGGAGATTAAAGAAATAAGTCAACTTAGTTATTTGTAATAAATAGGTGTTGTCTTTCCTAAAATATCCTTACTAATCAAATTTATTAGCTAGAACTATCATTATTAGAGGGACTATCTTGGAAAAAATATATAAATATAAGAGACAAAGTAGATTGGAGTCTTATAATTAGAAATAAAATAAAAGTCTAACGAGGTTTTATATTAAGAACTGGAGGTAGTGTATTTTATTAATTTAAGTGTGAAAAATCACACACATGCGCATGTGCCTTCCACCACACCCAACTAATGATTATGCACGTTTTCCTTCTTTCTCAGAGTATATCACAATTACTTTAAATTTGTGCTATCTATCACTCATAATAATTCACATCCATCAAAACATACATTTAAACAATACTAGCTACTATCTACTTTACACTATTATTCGCGCGCGCGCACACACGTGTATATAGCTGTTTCTCAACTGTCCAAACTTATAACCTTTTTTTTTTTTTTTAACAGGGAACAGCACACATATGCCACATGGGATCTTGCATATATTACTATATATGATAAAGATATGAATAAAATGTTGAATATTAATACTAATAGACATTTCTTACAATAATATTAGAAAAAGTTGATGAGTCACCCTTTGGCGTAGGGATGTGTAAAAACCCGGTGGTCCGGTCCAGTCCAGTCCAACCCGAAGTGGTCTTGTCCAGTCAGGTCCAGTCCAAATTAACTATATAATGGAATTAGACTAGACTGGACCAGACTAGTTGGTCGGGCTGGACTAGGTTTCGGACCAAGTGATCATATCACCTAGACTAGTCCAGTCCAGTCTAGGTGAATTTTTTATTTTTCAATAATTTGTAATTTAGATGGTGCCTTTAATTGTTTTTAATGTTTTTAGATATTTTTATGTATTTATGATGAAGTCTTAATATTTTAGGACGAGTTTCATATGATTATAGGTATTTTTATTGTTTTAATTTTACTTATTATGTTGAAATCTTATTTCTCATAAAGAAAAAAATTAAAAAAAAGAAGAAAATTAGACAACTGGACTGCCTAGACAGTCCACCAGTCTGGTAGACCAAGTCCAGTCCAACTCGACCTCGGGTCATCACTGGACCAGACCAGACCACAGACTATCAAACCTAGTCCGACCAAAAAATCAGACTAGACTTCGGGTTGGGCTCTGGTCCGGTCCGGTCCATCCATTGTGCAGCCCTACTTTGGCGATTAAAAAAGTGAGAGACAAAAGAGGGACAATAGAAGATGGAAGTTCTTGAATGACAACGCGGGGCATTTATTAAGCACTGCGTGTACACACACTCTCTCTCTCTATATCTATATATATATGTTCATACTTGAAATTTCATAACAGGTCAAAACCCAAGATATAAATATTACATGACACCACATTTTTCATACTTGCTTTTGTTTCATACTCTATTTTTCAACCTCCTTGAAAACAACTGTCATTGGTCGATGGAAGCATTTATATAACTTTGAATAGTAATTTGATTGTGGTTAAATTGGCTTTTACTAAGCCATATGATTATATAGTAGAAGACTTGATTGTTAAATGATGAAATTAAGAGAGAACTCATTCATATGATAAGAACATAATTTGTTTATAGTCAAATTAGATATTATTAAATCAGAATATTTATTCTTTGGACGACACGCATCAGCAATTTCAGCATCTATATGCGTAATATTACCTTCATAATCAAATTCAACTGTAAAATTATTAACTCCATAGTTAAATGTTCTGTTATCTGAATATCTTGATTACTATGCGTTTCAGCAATTTCATGCCAATGAGGCACTTTATCTTTGGCAGGGGCAGTGACAATGGGCCTCATGTTTCTTGGTGGGCCGAAAATCACCTTAGCCCCGTACATCAATAGGCCCATGTGTGATCAATTCAGAGTCCAACCCCAACATGGGCTTTCTCCCAAAAAAATCCACATGAATTGGTCAAGCACCGCACCTGCCTCCATGACAAAGATACTAATGTATACTTTAGTTGTTTTGGTCAAAGTACACATTTAGTTGTTTAAATTTTTAATCTGTTGACAGGGTTTACGGAGAGTTTCAATCTAATTCCTGGAGGGAGTTTGTAGAGGGTTTTAATTTAGTATGAAGATGGAGTTTACAGAGAGTTTCAATTGTTCCTCCATCTGCTACCTAATACGAGAATCAGATAGGAGCATGTGTTAATGAGGCTTTGGTTAAATAATAGTTTCAATACACGTAATTAAATAGCTATTATATTAAAAGTGGGATGAAATATTTCATTTATATTATTAAACACGAGACTATATGACTATATGAGCATTATTAGGTCACGATCTAAACCGGACCAGGTGATATTTTCTCCCTGTTTCTGCAAGTTTTCCACGCGCAACTAGCGCTATTTTTCTCCGTTTGATCTTTTAATAAGTTTCCCTAGATATTACTCCTCCGGTCCTTATTATAAGACCTAATTTGACTTTTTATTTAGTCATAATTATAAGACCCAATCCATTTTCTCTCTTATATTTATGCATTTTTTTCCAAGATAATCCTTCTAATAATGATAGTTTTAGCTAATATACTTAATTAGCAAAGATATTTTAGGAATAACAACACTTATTTATTATAAATAACCAATTTAACTTACTTCCTTAATCTCCTCAAATAAGTCAATTAGGTCTTATAATTAGGACCGGAGGAGTACTACCTTTTGTTTTTTTAAAAAAAAATATTTGGACAAAGTCAATTCACGAGTTAATAAAATAAATATATGAACACTTACTTATTACTACCTCTCGTCCTTAATATAAGATCTAATTGACTAATTTTGAAAATTTAAAAAAACTAGTTAAATTAATTATTTGTTATAAATAGATAATGTGTTCCCTAAAATACCTTTATATTGATGGTAACCTCTTAACATATGTAATTATTATAGAAATTACTTGAAAGCAAAATAGATAAATGTTATAGATAAAATGGATTGGGATTTTATATTTAGAACCAAATTAAAGATTAAGCTAGTTCTTATATTAAGAACCGGATGTAGTAATTAGAAGAAATGTTTTAACTATCCATTTTAATTAACAAATAATCTTTAGGAAATTTATATGTCCACATGTGTAGCAGAAAAACTTTTATACTATTCATAAATCATAAGTTACACATTCTTAAGATTTTGTGCAACACTTAACCCACATTGGCTAAATTTAAAAAAAAACGAGACTAAATTTACTCATAGAAGTTGGATTCAGTGAAAAAAGTCTCATCAGTCTGCTATCAAATATTCATCCGATTCTTGTTATGATATTTAAATAACTAATTCATGAATGATAAATAATTATTTAAAATTAGTTAAAAACAATAAATGGATTAGATATAGATTTTTATTTTTAAATACATCCTTATAATAAATGAGAAAAAGAATAAAAGAGAATGTATAAAAAAATAGAATAAGAGAGAAATAATTAAGAGCAACATTAAAAAAAAATACATTAAATATTAAAACAAACTCAAATTAAAACTTATAAAATATATCACACTTCTTTTTAAACCTGTAGCTTATACATAGAACCGGAGGAAATATCACATTTAACTCTCTTTCTTGCTTCAAATATCATATTCATATCTAACTCTAAGTAATTTGAATTTGAATTTATTAAACGTAACTTATTCAAATGTCTTTATTGTATCAGATTCCACTAGATTAACTTTTGTTGGCCTTCTATTGAAAAAACTTCGTTGGTTGGATTTTGATCACTCTATTTAAATATGAGAACTACTATCCCTAAATTATAAGAGAAAGATTTTTGTACTTGGCCATACACATACATATGTATATACTCCTCCGGTCCTAATTATAAGACCCAATTGACTTATTCGAGGAGATTAAGGAAGTAAGTTAAGTTGGTTATTTATAATAAATAAGTGTTGTCATTCCTAAAATATCCTTGCTAATTAAGTATATTGACTAAAACTATCATTATTAGAAGGATTATCTTGAAAAAAAATGCATAAATATAAGAGACAAAATGAATTGGGGTCTTATAATTAGGACCAAATAAAAAGTCAAATGGGGTCTTATAATAAGGACCGGAGGAGTATTATTTTTACTCCATTAAATCAACAAAATAAATTTTAAAGTGTTGATATTAATCAATCGAGCTTAAAATATCCTAAATATAAAATATAATTTGCAGTGCATACCTTGATTTGATTAAAAGCAAACATCTTAAGTAGATATGGCTAATAAGCAGTTAAGTTTTCTCCTAGATTTTTTCTTTTTGACCGGAACGTTTTCTCCTAGATTACAATGCTTAAAATTGACAACTTCATATAGGAAATATAAAACAATTACCAAAGAAGACTGAATTTAAAAATTAATATTAAATTATTTAGTCTGTTCTCAACGTCATTGGCAAAATGGCAATTGAAATTTGAAAGGGACAAAGCACAAGTACAAAAACAAGGCCAAGACTCAAAAGCTCCGGCTTTGGACGTTGACCAATTCAAATTAAAGCAGGTAAGAGACTAGAGAGCTGTTGCCTGTTGAAGATGACTCTTTCATTTCATGCAATCCCATGGAACGTTTCAGGGGACGCCATTTTGAATCACTCAAAATCAAAAGACGACCCCTCAGCAAAATACTAAAACCATACAAATTGACATTAATTGCTATTTCATCGTCTCATTCCTCACCACCGTAGCTTCTCTCTTCTTCTTCAAATTTCGAATTTCAAACCCCTGCTAACCATGGCTTCACCCTTCCGGGTCCGCTGCCTCGTCTTCAAAGTCGCCGTCTTTATCATCTTCTTCGGCCTAACGCCGTCCATTTCTCTGGCTCAGTCCGCCGATTCCTGCAACGGAATATTCTTGTCCTACGTCTACAACGGTGGAAGACAGCTGCCTCCCAACGTCTCCGATTCCAACAATCAGCCGCATCGGTTTGAGTCTACTCTCACTGTGCTCAACAATGGTCTCGACGAACTTAAGTCATGGAAGGTTTTTGTGGGGTTTCAGCACGACGAGTATTTGGTCTCTGCATCAAACGCAGTGCTTGCCGACGGCGCTAGCTTACCTGCCAACGTCGGCAACGGTACTGTTCTTGCAGGGTTCCCTACGACCGACCTCAAGACGGCGGCTGAGACTGCTGGGGACTTGACACAGATGCAGGTTCATATCAATTTAGTGGGGACACAGTATGGTGTTGTGCCGCCGGCGGTGCCGCTGCCGTCGAACATCACTCTCGCCAATGACGGATTTGTTTGTCCCAAGTCCACTGGCCGAGGTACCTTCTATTTTTGCGTCTCATATATGCAATGCTTCTTTTCGAAGTTCTTTGGACATATAATTTGCTTCCTCATCTGACTTCAGGTGAAAATCGTTCTATATCTCTTTTTTGTCTTTTAGAGCTAAGACCATTCTGTCTTGAAAAGAATAGTATAGTATTCACTGTTTCCAAAATTGGATTGTAGCGATGAAAGATCAATCCTTCAAAATCGGAGCTTTAGCCTTTCTTTGTTTGACACGTAGAGGAACTACATGTCTTTTCTTTGTATCATAGCATTCATATGGTGCCTTAACTAAATGCAGGACTTACAGTTCCACAAATTTGTCTCATAACGTTGAACTGTAAATGGTTAATTCTGTGGCATTTTAGCTTATATTGTAGAATTGTAGAGTTAATCATCTGTGATTGCAAAGTTGTGATTTGAGAATGCTTTAGGCTACGGACTGAGTGTTAAGGATCAATGGTTTGGCTTTCAGGGAATGAGACTCATGTCTGTTGCACCAGAGATTCCAATTTCAAAACAAGCATCACCACAGAACAAGAATTTCTACCTCGCCAGAGTGGTGATCTTTCAATTATGTATGATGTGACCGGTACCTATGAATCCAATTACTGGGCTGAGGTTACAATCTCAAACCATAATCCCCTTGGACGTCTTGATAACTGGAGATTAAGCTGGGACTGGATGAGGCAAGAATTTATCTATGCAATGAAAGGTGCTTATCCTTCTGTGGTTGACTCTTCTGAGTGTATCTTTGGTGCACAAGGTGGACACTATCAAGAGCTTGACTTTTCCAATGTGTTGAGTTGTGAAAAAAGTCCAACGATAATTGATCTCCCTCCCACAAAGTTCAATGATTCGGACCTCGGAAAAATCCCTTTTTGTTGCCGGAATGGGACTATCTTGCCTCCATCAATGGACCCAAGTAAGTCATCTTCAAGGTTCCAAATGCAAGTCTACAAAATGCCACCAGACCTTAACCGCTCAGTGCTCACTCCACCACAGAACTGGAAGATAAGTGGCACACTCAACCCTGACTACAAATGCGGACCTCCAATTCACGTGAGTCCGAGCGAAAACCCAGATCCTACAGGCTTACCTTCAAACAAATCTGCAATTGCTAGCTGGCAGGTTGTGTGCAATATAACAAAGGACAATGGGCCAGCAAGAAAATGCTGTGTTTCATTTTCTGCTTATTACAATGAATCTGTCATTCCTTGCAAGACGTGTGCGTGTGGATGTACAGGCAACACAGGAAGAACTTGTAGTAAAAATACACCGGCAATGTTGCTTCCAGCCCAGGCACTTCTTGTTCCATTCGAGAATCGTAGTGCCATGGCTGCTTCTTGGGCTAACATAAAGCATTTCACAGTGCCAAACCCAATGCCCTGTGGTGATAACTGTGGAGTGACCATCAACTGGCATGTGCTCACAGATTACTCTAAAGGTTGGACTGCAAGGGTCTCACTGTTCAACTGGGGTGAGACTGCCTTTGAAGATTGGTTTACTGCAGTGGAAATGAACAAAGCAGCTCCAGGTTTTGAGAAGATGTACTCTTTCAATGCAAGTGCCTTGGAGGGACTGAATAACACTATAATGATGCAAGGTCCTTCAGGCAACAACTATCTTCTGGCAGAAACAGATGGAGATGACCCTGAGAAAGATCCTAGGGTTCCTGGAAAACAACAGTCAGTGATCTCATTTACAAAGAAAAGTACTCCTGGAATCAACGTGGTTGGTGGAGATGGGTTTCCCACTAAGGTCTTCTTCAATGGGGAAGAATGCTCTCTTCCCTCTGTATTTCCAAGCAGTGGTTTCAAGAAAGAGTTGTCCTTGTTCTTAACACTATCACTGCTACTGTTCATCGTCTTGATGCAGTTTTAATGGCGAAGTTCATCTCTTCCTCCTGCTATTGTAACATTCATCCTGTATATCTTATTCATTTCAGTTAGAACGATTCTTTCCAGAGTGATTATATGTATACACTTCGGAAGATTGTAGAATTCTGTTGGACACACGATAGAAGTTATATTCTTTTCTTCCTGTCTTTTACAGTTCAATTGTGGTTTTCATTCTCTCTCTCATCTTGATTCGTTTGTAGTGATTAATACCATTTTAATACTGTTCTCTAACTAGTACGGATTTGACGATTGGCCAGATTTACATGTAAACACTTTAATAACTGATTCTATTTGTAGTCAAAGGTAGTTGTAAAGTTAACATGTTGATGTTGGTTACCATGAAACTTGATATTGAAAGTTGATTTGGATAAGGAAGTAGTGATTTAGTGGGATGCACCTCTATTGTTGTTATGTTGCTTTTACTGGGGATGCTTTAGTTCTTTTGAAAGGAGATATAATGGCCTTACACTTAAGATGACAATGTGAAGTATTTGAATTTAATTGCAAATTTTTCATTGAAATTTAGTTCTTTTTTTCCCCTGTTGTCTTGATAACTTTAGGCAATAGCTGTTTATTTCATCAAAAATGTCTAAATAGTAACCAAACAGTAGTAATTGGATTACGTGGTAAAAGATTCAAGTGTCAATGGCATGTTGTCGTAGCGACACCTATTAGTGCTCCTCAATCTTTTTCTTGGTGTGGAAGGTCACAGGTTGGAACCTGTGTATAGGGTACATGTGTTTAATTGGATTTGTCTCCAATAACAAAAACAACAACAATAATGATAATTAGAAAAGTATTTGAGTAAGGGAAAATGATATTTAATGTTAAAATTTGGCCCAAAAAATGGGTTTGTTAAAAAAAAAAAAAAAAAAGAACAGAGACGAGGTGAAACATGGGTAGTCGGCTTTTCAAAGTTCCTAAGTTCTGAAATCAAACGAAAATGATTACCCTTTTCGCATTCAGAAATATGCTCGTGAGAGCGAAATCAGTCTTTTTTTTATTTTTGAGAATTTAATTAGTGATAGACACAGAATTTGTTTGATTGGCCTGCTAGAATTTACTCATTCCGAATTTTATTAGGCCGAAAATCAGCACTGGTCAGGGCTGAGAACAATAATCCTGCTAGTGATATGTGGGACTCAATAACGATTAGCATTCCCGCTTTAGTTCAGTTAATTTAGCATCAACTAAATAACATCCGGTATTATATGCATAATTCAAACGTAGTTTTATCAACCAAGAATTAAAATATAGTTTATCCAATTAAATTGACAAGTAACTGACAGCATGACGAGTGGAAGTGGAGAGTCTAGATACTCTGTATAAATCGAAACCAAAAAATGAAAAAAAGAGCGTTGCATGGAAAAGGAGCTCAATTTTTAAGTTTGATTAATAATTCAAGGGGCATCAAAACCAAGGACAGGCCCTCTTTTTGTTCACGTGCTTCGTGACGCTTGACCCACTACTAAAGTGCAAATGCCTTTGACAAAATCTTTATCAAATCCCATTATCTATAATTCTATATATTCTTACGTTGAAGGTAGCCACGAGAATATTCCGACCAAAAAGACAGAATATATTCCCCAACCTCCAACATCCCTCCAACGCACTGCATGAAAACCAAATAACAGAATAACAGCTGCAAAGACATACACTTGTTCACTTCTAAAAAGATAAATTAAAAAAAAAAACAATAGAGTATAAACAGACACATATAATATAAATCTCTCGAAGAGCTAAGTCCCTTGTAGAATGGGAAAGAGAAAATTGAGAAAATGAGTGCATCACATAGGCAGCCCCATAATCAATACTATCTTGCATGGCGGCGACCATAGATCTCTTGACCAGATATGTATCTAATCATGCTCAAGTACATGCACTGCATGGGATCATAATTATGGAAAAAGCAAATCACCAAAAGCTAAATCAATCAAAAGCAGTATCTAAGGTACAGAGACAGTCTTGAAAGAATAGCCAGGCCGAATGTCTTGGAACAACCAAATGGAATATTTACATTCTTCCAGCATTCATTTGCTTCAATTGAAGGAAATATAAAGTAGAGAGCGAAACAAAGGGGCAAGATCAACATAGATTGTTATTCATGTTAGAACTGCTTCTACGAGTCTGCATGTGTTTTGAACCATTTTGCAATCCCAGGCCTAACCCAACATATATCCATGAACAACCTAAAATTAGAATCTTGCTAGGAATTTTCCTATCACAACCAGTCAAAAATTGCATATGTATGCCTTTTGCATACATTTAGTTGATGCATCTCAACAACAAATGATTCTGAGCATGGAGACTAAACCCTGATAGTATGCTACTCCCATAATTTTGAATTTGTGACATCAACCAGATTCTGTTCCTTGGACAATCTAAACCCGGATCCGAACTAGCTCATTGCAGAGTGATGAAATCCATATGTAACAAACTATTTACATTGGCAGCTGCAATCTGAAAGAGAACTGGCAGCATCTGCTCTAGACAGGGATGTTGTCCATGGAATATCCATCAAAATCAAACTCATTCTCGGCTGATCCAATGCCTTCTTGCTGCAAAAATACAGATGACCTTTTATACATGTATAATAAAAAATGCATTGAAGCATATCAACTAAAAGTGATTAGAAGAGGCTGGCAAGAACCATGTCAACCAACCTGTTTCAGAAGTGCACTCATGAGATCCTCCTGCCCATAGTGCTCAGGGAAGAGGTTAGTCTGAGAGTTAGCATCAGGAATTCTTTCAGCCTTAACCCTTACAGAATTGTCAGTAAGAAGCGCATTTTGGAAACCATGATGTTGACCAATATTCTGGAAGTTACTTGACTCCATGTTTTCCCTTAGGGAGAACATGGCTTTTCCAACTGATGTAGCACCTCTATTATGTCCAATCTGTTGGCTGGAAGAGAAACCTTGATGGACTAGAACTGATGGTGAGACATCAATGTTGCCTTGTAAGGGATTTGCATGCTGAGAGGCATCATATGTCTGGCTCTGGCCCATGTTTTGAGCCTCCCATTCATGGGACTTATGCTGGTGCAGTTCATTAAAGATATCATAACTTGGAACAAGTCCAGAAGATCCTTTCATTCCCGAAGCTACTCCATCCTGGTAAACTCCTTTTGATGTGATATTTGAAATATCTGGAGTGCTTCCAAGAGGAAAACTACTTGCAGGCATTTCTGTGGGTTGGTTCATGGGAAAGTTCAACATCGAAGAGGTTTGAGGAACTGAATTATATGAAACTCCTCTGCTATTATCAGAAATACCATTTCTTCCCAAAACACTACTAGGAGACCCATTTGCTACTGAAGACTGCCCCATAGATGTTGGAAGCCTGGGAACATGAGACACATTATGTTCATTGAGTATATGACCTCTTGGTTGTGATTGAGACATCTGCATTAATAAGGGGTTGCTCTGGGAAGGAGAAGTATTGACTCGCATATTCAAGCCCCCTAGGGATTGAGTAGATTGGTGTAAAGAAGCAAGCTGCTTCGGCTCCATGTTGGTAGGGATACCGTGGAGTAAGTTCATTGGTTTGCTACTGCTCCCAAATTGCTGTTGTCCTTCTCCGAATCTAAATCTTGGGTTCTCAAAACTGAAAAGGTTCCTTTGGTCAACAAGGGGCATGGGCATACCAGTTTTTGCAGTTGATCTACCTAGTCCTGCCGCTTGAAGTGTTGCCAGACTTTGAGGTGGAAGCTGTCCTGCAGCAGCAAGAGTTTGAAGATCCGTTCCATTGAGTGAAGAAATTGCCCCAAAAGTTGCGTCCTGTGAACTGATGAAAGAGTTATTCAGGTTACCCTGATGTTGAGAAACGCCACTCAGCCTTCGTAGATACAAGCGATATTTCTGTAGCCAAAACAAGACAAGGAAACAGTTAGCTCTTAGAAATGGTGTAGTGATCAGAAATTAAACCCTCAATTCCTTTATACGGGGATAAAAAATACCATACCTGGAGGTGGCTAGCAACATTTTCTCTGGTGAGCCCAGGGACATTCATCAATTCCAGAATTTTTTTAGGAACCGCCTCTGCATATTTAAGCAAATTTGAAGGCGTAAGAGTGTGCATGTGTATGTTTTTTCAATAAATCTTCAATGCTAAACTAGAATCTTAGTTATGTAGAGATATTGACCAATAAATTTTAAAGACTGATCTAATTATCAGTAGGGGAGCTAAAAAGCATAGGGAGATGATGCAACATATTGCCATCGAATACCCACAACTCAAGTGGTAAAAACATTGGCGCCAAGTTTTTTCACAGTTTCTCAAGTCATGATTCTTTTGTAAAAATTCAGCAATAGACATGTAGAGCCCAAGGATTATGCACCAGAAATACAGAGGCATTAATTTGAAATGACAGATTGGTTTACCAGGAAAGGTAAGAAAGATGTAAGAGCGTGAACAAATTCATTCAAGGACGTAGGTGAAGAATACATACTATCAATTCCTAGCTGATTCACAGCAGCCACAAACTGTTGGTGGAGCTCAACTGACCAGACAACTCTAGGCTTCTTTAACGTGGAGGAGTCATCCCTCTCCTCTGCTTCTTCATCCTCATCCCTCCTCTTCTTTGCGTTTCTCCAATTGCCTTCGTTTGCAGAGGATGAGTAATCCGCCTCATCAGCTGGCTTTAGTTTCTGATCTCCTTCTTCTGCACTGCCTGACTGCTCCAAATCCTTCCATTCATTCTTTTTCTTACGAATCACATGCTGCCATATATTCTTTAGAGCCTCGATACGCACAGGTTTTATAAGGTAATCACAGGCACCGTGAGTCACACCTTTCATAACAACACTCTTTGCATCATCTGCAGACATCACTGCAAACATCATACACAACAGGTTAATGTGAGTAGCCGAGTCAATATCAATGTATTCAATTCCTGGATCTAATCTGATCCAACCAGATACTTACTAATAACGGGAAGGTCCATCTCTAACCCAATGTGTTCTAAGAGTTTGAAGCCATCCATGTCTGGCATATGTACATCGCTTATAACAATGTCGAACCCATTTTTGTTCTCTCTCAGAAGTGACAGAGCAATTTCTGCTCGAGTGCATTTCGTAACTGAAATGGGCTCAAAAAGAAAACACAATCTTACTCCTCAAAACACAAACATTTCGGAAAAAATAATA